AGGGAAGGGGGGAGGATGCCGAGTCCTGCAGACGCAGGAAATGAAATGGGAACGCTTCTAATGCAGTGGGTGTAGCCCAGAGTATTTCGGTCAGCTACTGGAAGGAGGGTAGAATGTAGAAATGCAGAGTCAGCTGTTTTCTTCCCGTGGGGTATGAAGTTTGAAGTCCTCTTGTGCAAGCTCTGTTAAGTTCTCAGACTAACACTATGAAAACACTCCAAGTGCTGGCCAGGAACAGTGAACCTTCCTGGAGTGACAGTACCAGGGAAGAATAAAGCTTCATCTAAATCCTGAAGGGAAGGCTTTCCTCCCCTGGAGCACGGGAACAAACTGCTGGAGTAGTTCTACATAAACAGATAAGAAAACCCTGTTTTTCATGTTTGCTTTTGATTGGTAGGGCTCCAAATACAGAGCTGCTAGAGGGAAGAGATCTTTGTGTAGTCTGGAGAAGATAGCGTGAAGGTCACGGATTCTTTTGCAGTGAAGATGGGAGTTTTCTGCCTTGTGTTGTTGATGATTTTGCCTTCTTGTTCACAGAACAGTCGGTTTGTCTGCTCAGAATGTGAGTTCTGGTGTCAGCCCACTCGCTTTCGTGACACACGAGGACCCGGCAGCAGCAGCACGCCTCAGCCTCGCCTCGCTGTCCTTTCTGTGTTGTGCGGTGGTGATCTAGCAGGACACTAGGTGCAGTTTTAAAAGCAGTTAGTCATGCTGTTCTGCAGAATTAAAACCCCCGCTGGATTAGCCGTGGAACTTCCTTGTGCTGCCAGTGTGACCAACGTGCTAATAACTCTTGTTGCCGATACCTATTCAACTCTGAGCATAAAAAACTGTAGCTCCAAGGTAGCAGCAGTAAGTGTGATCTCTTCTTACCTCCTGAGGCTTCTCCAAGAGTTCCTGGTAAGCGATAACTGCTTAAACCTAGGAAGCCCTCCTGAGGGGCTGTGGGGGCGGTTGCAGTGGTTAGAGGAAGGCTTGAGGGAGGTTGCTCCCTCCCTCTGACCCGAGTGCTGCCCTCCTTGACTCAGTCGTGCAGGTTGTGATCTTTGCTTAAACTTCCAAAGAGTCGGATCAGCTCTGTGGGACGTACGAGCGTTCCTCGCAGTTTCCTCGCAGCCTGGGAGCTGGCTTGCCACCCCAGCAGGTGTCACTGGCCAATGAGGTTTAGTCTCAAACTGAGCAGGAGCCTTCTGTATCTAACAGCGTGCTCAGAGTTGATCTGAGCTTGAACTGAGCCTGTAGTGGGGTGCTGCGCTGCCTCTCCAGATCAGCCCCTCAGCCTGACCACACAGGCTCGGCGCTGAGCCTGTCAGAAAGGCCCGAGGAGGAGCGGGAGCTTGGCCTTCATCGTGATTTCTTCTCTTGGGTTTGTCTTGCCTCGAGGGCTTTGTTTATCTGGCTTCAGAGACGACTGAAGATGTCTCCGCTTCTCTGCTTGGCACCTGTCCCTTATCAGACCAGGCTTTGGCCCCCTGAAGCTGTGGAGAGGCCTCTGCTGCTTCTCGGCTCCAGGCTGCCCGGCCAGGGGAGGCTGCGTGTCGTCCCACTTGCTCAGCTGCGTGGCGTCTGTGCTGGTTCGGGTGGGTAGCGGCCTCGAAATCTCTGATGATAGAATAGTTTTTGAAAAGCTGCTTTGAAAAACAGCCGGCTGCCGGGGCTGCTCTGGAGGCTGCGGCTCTGCAGGTGTCAGGAAACAGATGCGTGTGTTAACAGCATGCAGAGGGGCTGGTGTTGGGATCCTACTACACTTGTTCAGGACGAGCTGCCAACAAAAAGTAATTTAACCTTTTGCCAACGTAAATCCTATTTGCCTCTAAATTAAAATGAGCATGCCAGAGTCTGTGGGCATGAGACTCTCTGGAGAAGCTGTGACTTCACCTTCTGAGAGTGCAGTGACCACAGCAGTACTTCAGAAGCTGCTGTCTGAGCTGGTTTGGGTCTGTGAATCTACATTTTAAGGCTGTAGCGCAGCTCCTGACAACGGTGGTGGCCAGTTCCCCAATTCTGAGCTGTGAGTGGAGCTCCAGGTTGTCCTGACAGAACACTTCATCTCTTGATCTGTGTTTGTGGAGGGAAGTGTATGTTGTCTGTAGAAAGATGAAGTACTCCAGCTGGTCAGACTTTGTGGGGTGGAGGTCCGTACTTCGGGCCAGTCCCCTGGCTCACCTCGCCAGGGAGAGCTGGGTCTGTTCCTCCCGGCCCCGCTGCAGTGAGGCTGTTGAAGTTTGTCCTTAGCAATCGCAGTAACATGCTGGAAAATCAGGTTGATGCTCCACACTGGGCCCATCTGGGCTGGTGGAGTCTGCGTGTTGTTCAGGTGGGTCCCGCGCTTGCTGCTGCTCCTGGAAGTTGCTGGTGAACTCGGATCCTGAAGTGGCCTCGCCAGTCCTGGGGGGAAGCGAGGTAGCAGCAGGTTCCTGCTGGCGGTGGCTGGCTGCCCGCTCAGCGTTAGGTGAAGCAAAACCTCTCAGTAACTCCCGGGGTTGCTTTGCCAAGAAATCCATGTAACGCTGTCAGCTATTCAACAAGATAAATACTTCACTGGGGCTTTTGTCTTGAGTATTTTGATTCTAAGCCAACAAATCCCCAGTGAAATGGCTTCTTGCATAGCTGAGAGCAGAAGCAATCCTCTTGGGTAACTAGATTCTTTGGGATTGGGTTTCTAAATATCGCCAGCTTTCAGAGTAGTCCTTGTTACTGCGTGAACACAGGGCAAAAATACCAGATTCTGTAGCTCTTGACACCTTAATCGGACAGCTTCCATGTGGTGGGGAGTCCCGTGAAGCAATTCGCGAGCAGGGGGTTAATGTGGGGGTCTGGTGGTAACTGCCCCGTGGGCACGGGGGCTCTTGCACCGGACTGGTTTGTTTGGAAGAGTTCTTGCTAGCCTGGAATGCAGCAGTGCTGGCATGTGCTTTCTCATTTGGGGCACTGAAATTCTTGAATTTGATACTCATGGAACTGTACAAGCCTCTACAGCAAATCCTGGCAAACACGTGAGGTGTTGAGAGCAGCGTAAACTGCAGAAGAGAGAGCTTGAGTTCTTGGTTGCTGGACAGCAGCAGACATTGAAACCTGGCTTCGATCTCAAAGCAAGCAAGAAGAGTTTACAATAAAAACCCCTGGTCCTTCTGCCTGGGCGACGCAGAGCTCCTGCATGTCCTTCGGTGAGCAGGAGGCAGGTAGGGCAAGGAGAGCACCCAGCACGTACCTTTGTATGACTCTTGTGACATCACAACCTGCCCAGTTTCACTAGTTGCAAGCAGTGATGTTAATACTTGTTAATCTTGAGTACGTGAGTACCCTCTCATACCCTTCCTTCTCGTGGTCTTGACTTTCCTGAGTCGGTACCGCAGGCTGCTCAGCCCGAGACCCTTAGTGACCAGTCGGGATTGCCTGAACTGCATAAATTCCACCTCACCGTACCGAGGATCTGGCAGCTTCTCAGGTGGACGTGAGGTCGTGCCATCCTGCTGCCAAACTTCAAACCATCTTTAGCAGGCGATTGGGTTCTCTATAATCAGAAGTGGTCAAAGGCTTTCGCTGCTTTTTGCTCCCATCAGTAGCTCTCCATGAGGAGCTGCACACGCAGATGTGCTTGCTTAATGCTGTTTGCGCTCACGTAGCACAAACAGATGGCAAAATGAGTTGAGATCTGTGAAATATAGGTCACGCTAAGACTTGAGGATGTCAACAGGCTCATTTCCTTGTTTTGCTCTGGGAATCACCCCTATCATATTTCAGGAGGTCATAACTGGGTAGAGGCACGGTTCACGTGGTGTTTAATGTGCAGAATGTTAGTCTGAAACGGCAGCAGAGCTTACGTACTGCTGATAGACTGCCCTGGTAAATGGCTGCAAGGTTAAACAAGCAAAAGCTGTTCCCTTGCAGGCTCTGGTTAGAGGAGAAACTCCAAAAGGTGGAAACTTTTTCAGGCTGGTGGAGCTGTGGACGTGCCTCCCAAACCTGGTGCTAACCAAGCTGCTCCTGGCTGGAGCTGCAGAGCTCTGTGTCCTCACAGCAAAACAAGCTGCTAATTTGCTTCCTATCAGGGTTTCTCATCCTGTCAAAGGAGTGTTTGTCCTTGTTGCTCCAGGTCAGACCCATTTCAACTTGCATTAAGCTTCTTGCTCGGAGAGATCTGGTATGTGCTGGGTAAATGCTGGATGTGCTCAGAGCATACCTGGAGTTTCTTTGGGGGCACACTCAGAACAAGGAGAAATTGGCTTTTGGGGGATATTTTTTTTTTTTTTGCAGTTGTCTTTGTCAACAAGAAGCCTGGGTTCTGAGAGTGGAAGGGAGAGAGGTGATGCCCCTAGCTGTAGCATTTGCCACTGATGAGAAGCAGGAGCTGTGATGAGTGTGGGAAATGTGCCAAATCCGTGTGACCGCGCCTCAGAATTGCTCCCGATGCCTGCAGCTGAGCTCGGGGGTCAGGAGAGCACTAAGACTTTGCCCGTGGTTCCATGGGCCTGGGAACCAGCTTGTCCTGCCGCTCGTGTGAGCGGTGTGCCCCCGCACGGCTTTGGAGATGCGGTGCTGGGGACCGGGCAGCGGTTCTGGCTGCTTGTGCCGCTCGGCACAGCTGGATTTGAGGAGCCTTCTCCTGAGGAATGTGG